GGGGCGGGGGGTCGGGGGCGCGTGGTGGGGGCGGCCGGGCGGGGGAGGGGCGCCGGGGGGGGGGGGGGGGGGGGGGGGGGGGGGGGGGGGGGGGGGGGGGGGGGGGCGCAACCCTATTTTCATCGCCAAAAAACCCGAAATTTTGAAAAGCAGGGGGGCGTAAACCCTTTTTTCCCCATTAATTTTCGGAGGCAGGGGGGGGGGCGTTACGCCCCACGCGCGCCCCCCTATTTACGCCCCTGCTTAAGGAAAAAAAGGTATCTCCCTCACTACTTTTGGTATGCCCTAAGTAGTTTAAAGTTCAATGGCATAAATTTTGTATTCAAAATAGTAGAGAGAAATCCAATTTAGCTCGCGAAACCTTTTAGTTACTGAATTACACGAATTTGAGTAAAACAGTCGATAGCTCTCTGGGAAGATAAAGAATTTTTCTTACAGTGGTGGTCAAAATTATAGGACCACTGTAGTTTTGATGTTTTGAATTTTTGAGTTCATGACGCAACAGAATTACAAAATAATTCAAAATTTCTATACTTTATATATATTTTTTATATTTATTCTTTATATATAAATGTATATAAGCGTGCTCAACCACCGTGATACCCCAATACTTATTTGTGTGCATAGCTTGAAACAGATATCAGAAAAACGAGACCTTTTTACCAGTTATGGCGCATATATAATGCTAACGATCTGTTATTGTTTGAGCTCTACATCTCACTAGGAACGAGACTTGCCAAGTGTTTCCTTATTATCATTGTGTTAACTACAGTACTGGCCAAAAATATAGAACCACTTTATTCTTGATTTTTTCTATAATACTCAACAGTTAGCTCAAATCCAAATAGTGATTCTGATAACCAATGAAGTTACCTATTTAATGCACTTTATAGCAGAGTTTCATCAATGAACTATGACCGAAAGATTTCTAGAAAACCAAAAACCATATTTTTCAAGTCCGGGCAAGACGTTGTTGAAATAATTTCTCAACAATGCCATATTAAAGAGCCCAAAATTCTGAACAAAATGATAGGTCGCCGCATTTTCTACGATCTTCTATTAAAAAGTTACAAGCATCACAAAAAATAAAAAAAGTGATTTTTTAGTAGATTTTCATCGAGTTTTTGATTAATTTCGATTCTTTTTTTTTGTGTTGGTTGTAACTTTTTAATGGAAGGTCGTAGAAAATGCGGCGATCCATCATTTTGTTTAGAGTTTTGGGCTCTTTAACATGGTATTGTTGAGAAATTATTTCAACAACGTCTTGCCAGGACTTGAAAAATATGGTTTTTGGTTTTCTAGAAATCTTTCGGTCATAGTTCATTGATGAAACTCTGCTATAAAGTGCATTAAATAGGTAACTTCATCACTCGTGATTCGTTATATCTACTGATAAGTCGATTTACGTCTTTTTCTTTTCCTTCGTATATACATATATCTTAATCACGCGCTCTGTGTGTGATCGAGAAAATTAATCAACTAATTATATTGATTTTCTCTTTATACTGAATTACAAGTCATTGATAATGACTTTACATTCAGTTTCTGATTTGAACATTGATGATGTACACCGTTTACAATTATCAAATGATGATGTTATAGTGTCTGAACTAGATAATATGTTATCTTCGAACTTAAATAATGTTTTGGATCCTCATTTGGACCATGATCTTAAAGAAGATGCTAATTTAAATAAAAAAAGTGAAAATCATGCTATTACACCACGATCATCCTCAACATCAAATTTACATCTTGTTAATTCATCATTACCTTCTGTCCGTCGTCCACTCTCGGTCGACGAATCAGATGATGGCTTTCGTGTCGTAAANGAAAAAAAAATCTATATTTATTTATTTGTATATTTTCTTACGTCGACTTTTTTACGTTTTTCATCTTCATAGTATTTGGAAATTTTATCTTTTAAAGATTCATAAAATAATACAGTAACACGTTCAAATATAAGTTTAATAACATCATTCATTTCATGTTCAGCTGTTGATATTAAACCTGCAAGTGTTACTTTTGTTTCTGGAAAATCTGTTCGATCATACTCTTCAATCATCTTATCAATAACAGACAAGAAATTTAATAAACGTGGTAAAGATGAAAGAAGTTTTTGCTTAACATATTCAATATCATTAACTAATATACATAACTAAAATTAATAAGAATAAATTAAAAACAAAAGGGAACAAATAAAGTTCTTTTTCAACGAACTTTTTTTGAAACATTAAATGATCGTGTACAAGTTAACTCAGTAAAATATTTATTTTCCGATAATTTATGCGCTATACGTCTTGCATAATGTTGACATTGTTCACATATTGTATTTGTTAATTTAATAAGTGCTGTATAGCGTATTTTTATATCAGGATAATCAATTTCTTCCCACGTTTGACAAAGCTAAATTAACTTAATTAGATACAAATATAAGACGACAGAAGAAAAATGTACCTCTATACATATATTAACAGCTCCCAGAGATGATGGAGAATATCTGATGAAATCTTCATCAGGAAAAAGCTTAAAAAGAATCGTTCTTTAACTTTCTTTTCGTATGAACTAAATGTAACTGATTCTTACTTCATTATCATCTTCTACTGCTCTTTCCATTGTTTGTCTAATACATGCAACGAAACCTTCTAATAAAAATTTCATTATTGGTGAAAACCATTGACTATAGTCAACTAATTTAAATTTAAATGCATTTGTTTGCCAATCTCTATTTAAGCAAGAAAAGAACAAAAAACAATTAGATCAATAAATATAAAACAAAATAAATCTACCGTGCTTCAAGACTATCTCGAACTGCTCTAATAATTGTTTGTAGGTGTAAATATAAATTTAAAAGTAAACGCGAACTTTCAATTAAATTTGGATCATATATTGATGGTGTTGCTTTAACCATTGGTTTTGAATATGCTTGAAAATATTCTGTCATATTTTGTAATAAACATCTTGTTATTTCAGTTAACTAATATACATTAAATAAGTTTATTTTATAGACAATATTACAGAATATCTTACACGATCACCTGCACTGTTGGTTTCAAAAAAACATGCTTTTATATAATTTATATTAAATGATGAAAAGAGTTTTTGAT